AACATAGTATCAATTCCTAATTATACTTGATTTCCGACCTTACTAAATATTCATCCTCCTTGGTGGTATCCCAAAACTATTGGCCAATCAGATGACTTGAGATGCAAAGCTGTGTGCATGAGATAGGATTTGGGGAGAAATTTGGGGGAGAATGTCTCCTGAGTGCAGAATGAGGCAACCTCACTACAAATTAGAATTCTGCTTCCTCCCAGGAGGTCTCCTTGGCTGTAGAGTGGGAAAGATGTACTCCCTAAAAAACCAATGCCTCCCTCCCAAGTAATTCATGTTTATACTCTGCCAAACACTACAAAGGAACACTTGAGCTCTAAATTTTTTAAAAAAAATTCTGCTCTAGTAAATAAGGCCACATCACTTTAATAGCTAGCCTCTAAGTTCACACACTAAAGACAAAATATACCAGAAGTTCAACTTATAACAAGACATTACATCAGCAAAGGGAGGAATGCTTTATCCACAGGAAGCTGTACACCAAGTTACAGAACAAAAACATGTCCTCCTGGATTTTGCATTAATTTGCCTACTATATAGAGCCTGTATCCCATGTTTTATGTCTCCCTACCCACGAGGGCCTCTTCCTAGAGATACCAGCTTAGGGCTATGCTATTATTTTCCTCCCTCCACCAAGTACCAAACATCAGCTTTGAACCTACTGGCCTCAGAAGGACTTGTCCACTGCAAAAATGTCCTATATTCTATATGCCTTTTAGAAGTACTTAAATATGGTTTACTTTTAAGTTTCTCATTTTCATAAACTGCTTCAGGGTTCAATCCTGTTATTATCACATTCAGAAATTAGTCAGAATTCTGTTAAAACATCTGTTTTAAATAGGAAATTCAAGAAACTTCCTGTCTTGATTTGGACTTGTATTCCTCTTTTGGATTCCAGCTCAGCTAATTAAAAATACTTCCGCTAATAGTTTCTGTCATTTGCTCTAGGAAACTTTTGAACTAGATGATACAAACTCTCTTGGGAGTTCTCAACCACCTAATAATTTGTTTGCTTCCTTCCAGCACATTTCTCACTCTACCATCAGCCCATATTATCCCCTTGCCTCCCCAGAATGCAGAAGTCACCAATAATCACAGTTATAACTGATCAATTCTTT